TATTATGTAGGTTAATGTACCTAAATAGTTTATACCAATAGAGTAATACGACGCCTATAGGTACATATTAAAATGTAAAACTATTAGGAATTTAAGACTGTAGAAACAACCTTAGCGATTATGATTTTAAATGTATAATGTGTGACATAATATGTTGTTATATTGAATAGGTACCCACATTTTTATAAATTTTAAATGTTCGTCTAATGGTTATATAGTTTATGAAAACAAATAACAATATTAGTATAAAGTATACACTATAAAAACCAGGGCCTAGGAGGTAACTTTATGACTATATAATCATAAAATTAATAATTATAATAATAATAAATTATTACATAACGTTAAACGTTCAACGGTACGTTATAATTTTATGAAAAAAGTAGTAAACTAGTAAATATTAGTTTAACATAGAATTTAATTCAGTATTCACTTTTAAAATGTATAGCTATACTGCTATAGCCACATCGAACTAGGTATCGACACTCAACAGTCAGATTCTAGGTTCACTAAAATATAAGGAATAATAATAAATAGCATTTTAATTATCAGCTGTGTATCAACTGCAGTGTAATTTTAATAGTTAAATTTAATTTAAAAAATGATATTTCAAATTTATTTATTTTTTAAAATTTTAAATTCGTATTACTATAGAGTATTTTCTATAGGTACTTATATGAAGTCGTGAAATATAAATATAATTGTATGGTGTACTGATAATCAATTACCTACGACCTACGTACATCTACAAACCTAAATCTAATTTGTAAATTAAATTAGATGTGAACATATTATTGAGTTGTATTCGAATAAATGCACGTAAGTATTAGTATGTAATACGTATATGCATATCTAAAGATTAAAATATTAAAATATGTAATATAGTATTCACTATTCAGTACGTCGGTCAGGCTTGATCCCAGTACAATAATATTCAATAGGTCCTTCAAGTTCACATACTTCGATTTTTAATTTTCAACAGATGCAAATAAGATTAGTATTAAATACCTATGTTATACTAACATGTGAACGGTTAATTTAATTCGAATAAAAAATTAAAATATTTAAGAACATTTTTATTCGACATTTATTTTTAACATTTTAATCAGATAAAAAACAAACGAACGAGTCTAACTTATTATAGTCACCATAATAATAGATTCTAAACAGAAATAACAAATATTTATCTATTTTATCTTATTTATTACCTACCACGTTCTTTGTTACGATTTACTATAATAAACAGATTAAACATATTTTTCACATAATAATGATAATAAATATTTTCAATATAAGAATTAGCTAAATATAAAAAAAAAAAAAAAATTATTTAACAAAATATTCAAATATATAAAACTCATTGAAAAAATATTTAAGAAAATGCAATTACTTCATTATTTGCGAAAAACATGAATACGTTTTATTTTATTAGGCCTTAAGAGTTAAGGTATTATATAAAGTAATAATTTTTAATCAGAATTAATGAATCTGTATCAACAAAATTATGTATTTAGGTACATAAAAATGTATACTATAATTTATAATTAGGTACCTAGTCAAGTAAAATACTTATATTTATATATAAAGTACAAACTGTAACGATATATATGTTACTGACTCGTCATTTATGCCGCACTCTGTGATTTTGCTTAGGTCAGAAGAACACAGGAACGTAGAGTACGAGTATATACAAGTCATTTTTAATATAGCTAGTTAGTCGAGTTTGGTTCGTGATTAGAGACAACAGCAGTCTCTATATTTTTAAGTAACATTTTTAATTTGATTTACTATAGGTATAATAACCTACCTTATAAATAAATCATAATTTATTCAATCGTTTCAACTTGTACTCCGCTACACCTGTGATCTTCAAAATACTACTCTCAAGAACAGGGTTACTCAGGTGATAGTGTATTGTATAAATGTATAGTTATATTGATATTAGTCTTATAAATAAACCTTGTAATACGTTGCTATAATATTGTTTCTATTGTGTTAGTTTATGAGCGCAGGTCATAAGTTTCTAGGACCTGTAAAATATAACTTAGAAAAGTTTATTTGTATCAATTCAACAACCCGGTTCTCAAGACCGGCTCGTGTAGTGGAAATAGCTAACCAACTACTCCTTAACTGGATAGAATTAGATATAAATATCGACAGCTACTTAGTTTTAATAAACGAGTAGGTGTGTTGCAATACATTTAGGTTTTCAATGAAAATATAAATTAAAATTACTAAAACTAAAACTAAGTAGGTACCTACCTAAAAAACAAGTAAATACCTATGACTAGTAAGTAGGTAGGTATTAAGTAGTATTTTATGTATTATTCATATTTTAATGTTATTATTATTTTAAATATAGATATAGTAGATACCTATATTATTATTATGAATATTTAATTATAACTTAAGCTACGTTTTTTGGTGCATTATTATTTATGAACTTTTCAAAATGTAATATTGTAATACCTATTTATACTCGTAACTCGCTTAACGAATAAAATAGGTATCGCCGAAACCAATATAAAAACATAAATAATGTTCATTTAAGTTTGATATCAAATTATAATAATTAATACGCTAATGCCTAATTAATTCTGATATTAACCTTAACAACAAAAAATTGTTTCAGCTGAACGTGAATTTGCAATTTTGAAGGCGCTACACAAAAGTGAGTCTTTGTTTTACTAACGAACGACATGACAAATTTGTGTTTAATAGTTCTAATTTTGTGTGATAAGTAATAACCTTTCATAATAAAGAAATTGACCAATTATAAAACTTAAACGTATGTAAATAATTATCTGAGCTTTTACGAAGTTATTTTTACAATATTTTAATGCTTAAGAGTTAAGAACACTTTTAAGAATTGTTGAGAAAAATTAAGTTTAAGTACAGATAATTATTATTAATGTCCTAACCTTCAAGTTTAACAATTGATCAATTCGCTTTAATATTTAAACTAAGAAAACAAAATTGGTGCTACTGAAAATGAATTCAAAATAGATATGTTGTACCTTTGTAAGACGATGACAACACATGCATCACAGTGGTGTAGTGGAGCTTATACGCGGATATACGGCGTATACTTACTTCTCGTTTTTCTGTAAGTGCGTATACTTATAGAATAACACATGTAACGCGGGTATAGGAATGCATTTATTTTATAAACCAATTCGATAAATAATATTTAATAATTAATAAATAAAATGTCGAAAAAACCATATCAATTTGACGGTTTCTATAATCAAAACGGTTGCTAATATTAAAGGTATTCATAGTATTTTGGTGAAACCCAAAAGCGCAAATTCATTTTGCACTTTTGTACCTTAGTAGTGTGATAAAAGCGCAAAAATAAATATTATACCCGTTATACTATAAGTTTAACTTTAAAATTATTAATTATTAAATTAAATCATTCATTTTAATTAAATATATATATATTTTTATAATTCAAAAAAACATCAACAATTATAGAGTTCAGTATAAGTTTTTTATGATCGTAACGAATTACGGCGAAAGTTGATAATTATTTAAAATAACTACACAATATATAATATAAACTTATACCTAACTTATAAAATACACTTTATTTTTGTAAAATTTATTTGCGCTTATGATTTATTAAAAAGGTATTTCTTTCGCACTTATGAGCTACAGCCTAGTATTTTTTAGTATAAAATATGACAGTACAAAACTGTAATTAGACCAATACCTATTGTACAGTATAGGTTTACTGAACAGAATTATTTAGATACATTTTGAGAAAACGTATTATATGCACCTAACTGATAAAATGCTAACAGATCTCAAAAAGTTGCACGGATAGAATTAAATGAAGAAAAAGCTAGTCAATGAAAAATGTTATTATTTATTTATTTGTTTATATGTTTTTTTAATTTTCATTTGCTTATTATTTTATAAGCTAAGCATGTTAGATGCCTATATAGATACCAAATTTATTAAATTTGGTATCTAAACATAGTAGCTCAACATACCTGTAGTGATTTCAAAGAGTATGAGATATATTTTATTTTGTATTTCAATATTTTCCTCTAATTTTTTTTTTTTTATTATTTTTATTAATTAATAAAAACATGTATAATTAAAACTTAAAAATCCTATTTGATTATTTCATTATAACTATTTAAAAATGAATATTAATTATTTTCTAGGTAATCATAAAAAATTAAAACGTATAATATGTTTCTAGGAGTATGATTGTAGACTGTAGAGACTCAATTGCGGCATGGTAGTATTAAAATGACATAATGTATCTATGTAATTATAAATATAAAAATAATAATAATGTAGTATATCAAGGTGGTACGGGGGGGCGAAGCCCCCAATGTTTTCACGTCAAGCACATTTAAGGGTATACTCATTAAAAAAATTACGACTTTATGATTGCATGCATGGGTATATAGAGATTAATGTTCTGTCATTTTAAGAATTCTTACAAATTATAAAGCTAAGTTAGCTTACGTAGATACTAAATATACTCACTGACCACTGTATAGACTTTTGTATATCACAATATGCAATTATCGTTTAAAAAATTGTGCCCTCTCCTTCCACACACACACAGCTGTAGTTGTTTTTGGACGTTTGAATTGGTTATTTTTTATTAATAGAATAATACAATAGACTACAAGAAAAATTAGAATTAAAAGAAACAGACACGATTGTAATAAAAATGTTATTGAAAAAAACCACTTTTATTTAAAAAAAAAACATACTTAACAATTTTTCAGAAATTTTGAAAATACAGGGTTGAATCTTTAAAATAGTTAAAACCCTTCCTAGTGTACGCGCTTGAAACGAGTTAAAGGTAGTACAGTTACATAACAGGCTTGTACATATTTTATTACAGTTTGAGTGTACGGTTTTCCGATATTTTTTATACATGTCTCGTGCACACTGTTAGTCATATGGTCCACAGTATTTACTATTTAGTACTTACATATTACAGTTTACAATTTATAACAGCTGCAGCTGTTGATCGGGTACGGTGTCTTGTGTTGGTGTGTTTCGTTCCCTCAGCTGCTGACTTTCGAGTGTTGACATAACTCGGAAATCAAAATGTCTTCGAACTAGAACAACTTGTTTGATAAATTACAAACTCTATGTCATAGTTTTTAGTACACCCTGAGACTGTAACCGTGCAGTATTTTTATATTATTATCTTACACTCACATCGTTATCGTTGCTCATAAAGGGCTACATATCTACCTATTACAGGAAAGTTCATATTATATTCTCATTTCCCAGAAACCGAAATCGAAAATGTGATTTGTCAAATGTCTGTGAACTGTAGCGCGTCAGATCGTTGTCACGATACACCAATTTTTTGTCGTCGAAATGGAAATTGTCAATTGGAACTCTCTGCCCAGCCTAGCTCTTCACCAGGTGTTCACCCACCTATCGCCTGAATCCAGAGTGGCCGCTTCATCCACTTGCAAACACTGGAGGACCGCCTTATACCATCCACAGTTCTGGCATAGTCTGGTGTTAGATATATCATCTGCTGGAACTTCGTTTGCTGAAGTCAAGTCCAAAGTAAAGCATGCCAATAAGAATCTAGTGACATTGGTACGTGACATCCACCTTGCATTTGATTCCCGGAGCACACAATGCTTTGAATTAGCTTCGTCTGTTATCAAGGCATTAATGGGCAATCAACTGTTGAGGAACGTTGACATTGAACTCAATCACTGTGAGCTGGCAAAGGATGAAATGTAAGTTATTGGCCATCTTAAAAAGACAAAAATATATAGGGTTTAGAGTTTAAAACTCTTTTTACTTTTTTATTTACCACAAAATTTAATCAGATTTCAGTACAGGTGGTCAATTCAAAACTATTTTGAGTTTGCCATTCTCAATGTTGTGCAGAAAGGAAATATTGAAGGATTTAGTTTTGGATATTTTATGTTTTACTATTGGAATGCTTTGATTCATATGCTATCTAAGTACAGTTGTGATAGCTTACAACGTTTGGAACTAGCTGGATTGGGACCATCAGTTTTTAATGAAGAGAGCAAAACAACATGTTTTAACTCTACTTTTGATAGTATGTCGTCACTAATCAATTTAAAGGTCAGTTATTTTATTCTTCTCCCAAATTAATTGTATTTTATTCATCTAATAATGATAATAATAATAAAAATAAATTTTTTTTAGAAATTAAGTTTAGACCTAAATTCCAATACGTGCAAATTGCTTCCAGCATTGTGTTCAATGTCTCAATTGGAAATCCTTGTTTTACATGTTCATAACGAGTTGGATATAGATATAAGTGATGATATCTGGGCAGATATTAAAAAATATTGGTAATTATTGACATGATGTATTTATAATTGTTCATGTTATATCTAACTATTATCAAGTACAATTAAATGTAATTATTATTATAGCCCTAAACTTGAATTAAGATTGACAATAATCAACTGTCATATTGTTGCTAAGCACCTTCATACTAAGTTACTTCGTCCATCGATGCCATTAACACATCTCAAAGTTCTTTTTTGTAATGTGGTAAGTTAATTATGCTACATTTTTTTTAAATATTATTATAATAATTATTAACTATTAGAAATTTAAATATAATGAAGTTATTTATTATATGTTATAAATCCATAGATAAATATTGAAGCATTACATAGATTAGTGGACTATAGAAATACATTTCAATCATTAATTTGGGTTGATGAACAATCAATGAACCCTACTGGCTTACTTAGAGGACATTGGCATTTTGAACCATCTGCAGACGACATTGAAACTAATCCGTTGATTATATTATCGTGGGTTTGCAGCAAAATCACAGAACTTGTTGTATTGGGTATATTTGTAAAATTATCAGTATAATAGTTTATAATAATATAATTTAATGATATTTCAAGTTTTACATTTACAAATTGTGACAAAATATTTAGATTAAAATTTAAATCTTAATCAAAATTGCATACTAAAGATATGTATTTAGTACTTCTAACTTTTCATTTAAATTGTTATAAAAATGTTGTCATTAAAATGTAGTAAATAATAATCAATTATTTTAGGATATTTTATTGAACCAGTGGACGTATGTGGAATTGCAAGACTGAGAGGTTCTAATTTAAAAAGGTATGAATTATTGGAAGAAGATATTTGCTTTCATCAACCACAAAGCGAAATGATTTATGATGAAATTGTTTTAGTGAGTATTTTAAATTCAACTATTAATGTTTAATTATTTAAATTTTAAGGTTTAGTAATAAATATTAATGGTATCAGTACTTTAAGGTTTATGTGTAATATAAAAATCCATCTGTGTTTGTAGTATCATTTTAGTTGTTAATTTTACAAAATGTTTGATCAAATGTTGAACAGATTAAATGATTTATATATTTTTTTTTTTTAATAAAAATTTTAAAGTATTATTTATTTTATAATATAATATTTTTTTTGAAGACAATTTGTTCTGTTGTTTCAAAATATGTCTTCTTTTATAAAAATTTTCTATTAAATCATTTATTTCTATCTTACAACTTGCACAGATGTATAAAGGGCTAGTTGTATTTTATTTTTGTGACAAATAATTAATATTATACCACAACATATTATAGCTATAATATTTTTCAAGTTTTTTTAATAATATACCATAAATATTATAAACTACATACTTTTAAATTATTTAAACTACTAAAATTGAACTATTAAAAATATCTTTTAGTAAAACACAGATTATAGTATTCTTTAATAATGTCTGTTTTAATAGATTATGATCTCTTAGTATTAACTATAGTTCGTTCCAAATAAGATGACTTTCGTTCGCATACGGTGGCAATGGCTAACGAGTCGCAGGCCAAACACGTCAGTTAGGAAGCACGACGCGGCGACCGGTTTCGCAATGCAGGTGGTGGCAAGCGATCTACTCCAATTCAAACTGAACATAATTCAGTTGTTTGCACACAAGTCATCTTATTTGGAACAGAGTATATGTATTAATGAGCAATTCCACTACATTACACATGATAAAACCAAAAAGTTTGGTCTAAAATTGACAAATTTTGCTTTTGTGTTATAAAAGAGAAAAAGATCATTATTATTAAAGTATTGACTTTAATATGTTTGTTGATTAAATGTATTTATTAGCTTATTAGACAAAAAAAATATTCTTATCTGGCATAAATGGGGAAATATGTCTTGCATATTTTATGAAGACTTTATTTATGTTAAATACTAGTTGTATTATAAAAAAAATTAAAAAACTGTATTTTCTAATTGCTTTCAGGATGTATCAAATTGGATGGAAACAAATTGGAAACCTTTGAATAAAAATAATTTATTTGTAAGTCATTCACATTATATATTGCAGTGTATTTCAAAAGATTTAACAACAGTCAATAAAACTAGACATTAATTAATATTTACCACAAAAATAACTTAAAATATCAATTTTAAATCTTTAAATTACATAATATTTGCGGTCATTATTAATAAATTACAATAAAAAAAAAGGTTTTTCTTACAAAATTAAATATACACTTTTAAAAATCTTAGAAATATTACTCGCAGTATGAAATTAGTACAGACTATAATTTTATATAGCGGTTGTGTAGTCAAAAAATTACTGTTGCAAATAATATATAAGTAATATGGAAGTATCTATATAGAATTATGATTGAAAAATTTTATTAGTAAACAAATGTAAAGCATTATAAAATATTCAAATTTAAATAGGAAAAAAAATACTTCACCAATAATTTACTACCACATCCTAATATACTCTAAAAACAAAAATGTTGAATTATAGATATTATTTAAAAAAAAAACCATTTTCAATCTAGTCCTATTTTATTTTTATTCATTTTTTTTTTTTTAAGTCATTGTTTAATTATTTATATCTATTATTCATGGCAATCTTATACAATTTTTCTGTTATTGATTTGTTTTTAATGATTTTTTTTACCATTAGAGTTTGTTTAATTAATTTAAAATAATTTTAAAAAGACAAAATATTATAATTTCTTGGTTATTTTACAAAATAGAAAAAATCTTTTAAAAGACAATTTTTAAATTTTTACTTAGTTATTACTTATGACATATATATTTTTTACACTAATTTTATGATATGTGAAATGTTCAGTTTATTTTTGTTTAAATAAGTCTAATAATTATATTAAAAAAAGAGAAATGTTATTAAAGCATATTTAAAAATCTAATAACAAAAAAAAAAAAAAAAAAAAAATCATCGAAAGTTACCAAGGTACATTTTTAATTTACTTTATTTATTGATTATTATGTTACAATATTAGTGATATACACTATTTCATTTATTTTTCTATTTCATCCATACTTAATTAAAAGATTAAACATAATAAAACAATTTTAACATAATAGTATTTGCCTATTTCAATATGTATTTTTATTCAATAATAAACCACTAAGATCAATTTTTTATGCAATGATCAATCCAATTGCTTCAAAAAAAAACATTAGTTTTCAATAACTATGAAAACAAAATATTTATAATGTATTAAATTAGCAAAAGTGTTCCTACCACAAACTTTATAACTATGTGGTTCTACTTATATGACAAGTGCAACTCAAAAAAGCACATTTTACTGATTAGACTACTGTGATAACATCTGTTAAAATATGTACAACATTATAGTGTTTAGGCAATTAGAACTGGCCGTAACTAGAACGGACCATCAAAGAGTTGTTAATATTGTTAAAATAATATTGTTGTTGAAATGTGTCTATTAAAATATTTATATATATTATAATACCATAAATGTAAAAGAACGTGATTTTAGAAATATTTGATTAATTAAGATCTAAACGACTGTGATGTTTAAAAAGATCATTTCTTATGTTGTTAATGTAGGTTAATTATCTATAACCATTTTATGAAAGAATTAAGAACTGTAACATTTGTTTTGTTAATAATTTAAAATTGTTACAATGTATTTGTGTGAATATTTTTCAACAGTAACACAAATAATACAAATAAAACTATGACTGAACGAATAGAATAAAAACATTCGTGATAAGACTATACTTGTTATCGTAAAATTATTTTTTTTATTCTGTGATCGATAAAAAAAAAATTTAAAAGTATTTATTTAAAATCTTAAATTTAAATCTTTTGTTTTCAAAAACTCTAATTCATTGAAACAAAAAAAATACGCACTGATTTTGAATTTCTTTTATTTCTTTTTATTATATTGTTATCCAACGTTCATATTGGATTTTAGTGAATTAATTATTATTTTATTTATAGTCCATTTGTTGATATGATTTAAAAATATATTAATTTATAGCCAAGAAATGGAATAAAAATTGTCATTTTTATTTTATATTTAAAACTATAAAACTTTAAAATATGCTAATTGGCTTTTGATTGATTAAAATATACTTATATTTATATTACCTATATGAGTATGTAACCTTTATCTTTATAGAAAGTTAATAACCAAAATATTGTTACAAAGTATTTACTTTCAGCCAAGTATTATACACTTAATATCCTAGTTATGGTAAAAACTGTATTTATGTATTCACTCATGAATTTGTATGCTTATGTTTATTATTATATTTTTAGCTAATTATGTTGCATATAATACTATACTAATGTATTGTTAACAGAAAAAAAATAATCATATTATATAATCATTTTTTATAACAAATGCAGTGTTAAAACTATGTGGAGGAAATACAAATTTATATTATATTATAATTTGTATATATCTTGTTAATCAGATTTTGTTGGAATTTGGTTACTTTTAAATTGTATTTTAAAAAAATTCTGTTTAGTTATCTATTATCCTATTAAATTAAATTTTAGTGTACACTCATAAAGTTATATTTGTGTTTAAAAATTGTTTATGTAGTTAATTTTTTTTTTTTCTATTAACCAAATTTCCAATTTTATTATTAGTTTAACCAAATTATTAATGTAGTATAAACTACTGCTTATATATCAAAATATAATTATCAACTAAAACAAATTTGATAAAATACTATAACATGTTTTTTAACTAAATGTTAGAATTTTAATCCATTTTTATTGATGTTATTATAATATTTAAGTTGTAATTTTATTATTATTATTTAATTATATCTTATTTTTGCTGTATTAGATCTTGATCTTATAATCTACAATTGTTAATTTTTATTAAACTTATATTTATGGCCTTATGTGATCATGGTTAAGTTGATCATGATTAAATATAAATGGTCAACGTATTGTATTATTCAAAAATAATTTACATATTTAAGTGTATTCATTATAAATTATGTTAAATAGAAAAAAATGAATAAAATATGTATTACGATTCTAATCAAACCTTCTATTTTTTTCACTAATACATAGATACATAGTTGTAAGTTATATACACTCGTTTGTCCATTTTATAAATATTTGTTTAAGATTACCACCTCAAGCTCTCCAGAACGCATAGTTCAAGTTCTGAAATGTATTGAAAAATTGTTTTTATTGGCTATTCATCAGTGAGTGCCTTTAAACACACTTCGTGTGTTGGAAATTCAAACAATTTGAACTTAATACATTAAACATGTTAACAATTTCTTTTACATTTTGAACTTCCAGCCTCTAAAACATGATATATACCTACCTAACATCCTATTTCCCAACACTATAACGGCAATAACTTATAGTACGTGAAGAGAAAAGTGAGCCGCAATCGTCACGTGTGTCAAGCTGCTGATTTTCATCAGGGCTACTCTAACTGTTTTTCTACGTAAAATAATTACAAACGATGTAATTTAGGCTATTTTAAACATTTTTTTTTTTTTTTTTTTTTTTTAATTTAATAATAGTAATAATATTAATACTTATTAAAATAATAATAATAATAATAATAAAAAAAATTATACAAATAATATCAAAGTAATTTCATCTTCATCGGTAGAACTATCGTCGGGATTAATTGTGTTTAATAATAGGCTTCAGAATTTCATCTCTTAAACCTTCCTTTATTTCGTTGCACTGTTCGCCACATTTTGCACAATCCTCTATTGTAATTGTATCAAAAGCACTATTTCTCAACACTTCTATACTTACCATTGTGAAAGTGTTATTTTTCATGCAACGCTGTCAATATTTTCTCATTAGTAGAATGAACGTTATCATAAAAACTATGAATTGTTCTTCTAATCTTCTGACAACTTCATTGTCAAAATCGTCTAAGTTGTGTTATATGTTTGACTCGTTTATAAGTTTTCCTAAGAGACTTAAATGAAGAAGGATGGGAATTTACTTATTTTTCATCCACATATAATTTTTTCCCTTCAGCACAAACTCGTTCAACACAAGCAACACTTACGTCACATGCTTAAGAGGACAATGGACATCGCACCTGCATGTTTTATCTCTGTTTTACATGCATATGACAGTACATTTTTGTTCACCAGTTTCAACTTTCAATAGTGTGTTTTTAGTTTTGGTATTAGAGTAATTTGACCTTTTATCAAATTTTTAGATTAGAACATTATCTCTCGTTGGTTTTTTACGATATTTTAATTTTTAAGTGAATTATGAGCATTTTAAAATATTTATATTTTTCATACTCATAACTCATATAGAAGTTAAAATATCGTAAAAAAACCAACAAGAGAACACAGATAATATTCTTATCTAAAAGTTTGATAATAGGTCAATTCACTTTAATATCAAAACTAAAAGCACACTTCTGAAACTGTTGAACGAGAATTTACTATGCCGTACGTGCGTAAGACGAAGACAACACATGCGGGTGCGACCTCCCTCCACTTAAGCAGTCATTTCATATGTTTGACTGAAATAAGTTACTGAGTTCTGGCTTACCTTTATCACCAGTCAATGTTTCGAAATAATTTTAAACATTAAAAATTACTGAGAATGTGTGTCTTGTTGATACGCCGTTTTAAAAAATATTTTTACATAACTATTGAAGAAATTATTAAAATACAAAAAACATTTAAACTTTAAAAGCGCGCACTATTAAAACAAACGATTTCATTCGCGGAAGTATTACGACCGTAACACACGTATTATTATAGATTACCTATGTTCAAAACTTCAAATTCGTATATCACGAATGACGTACCAAACGTTAACGAAATATTGTGGAATTTAACAACTTTTTTGACAGCAAATGAAAATGTGTTTCCAAAATTCAATAAATAGTACAAAAATTACCATCTACCGTTTTTAAAATGTGCGTCAGATATTTCCATTTCTGTCAAACGTAGACCCACCGATAACAGAAATAACGACTGATTGGGTGTGTCTGACATCGTGTCACTTGTTCGCTTTTTGGTCCGTGTTCCTGACCTGCGTGGACACCGGGGGTTGATCGCTTCTTCCTTTGGTGAGCTTATGCTTGTCCACGACAGCTTATTCGTCTATCTCAAATGTGTATCTTATTTCATGGTTATCTTGCATATCTGCAGAGTTTTTCTATAGTTTTACCAGAT